ATGGGAGAGGATATTTGAAGTTTATGTTTTTGACAAAGGTTTGAAAACCAGAATCCACAGAGAACACAAACTTATTAATAAGAAAAGAACAAATGATACCATTTCATTGTGGGCAAGACATTTGAACAGAAGTTTCACTGAAGAAGACAGGCACATGGCCTACAGACACATGAAAAAAATGTTCATCATCTTAAGTCATCAGAGAAATACAAATCAAAACCACTTTGAGATATCATCTAACTCCAGTAAGAGTAGCCCACATAACAAAATCCCAAAACTACAAATGGTGGCATGGATGTGGAGAAAAGGGAACACTTCTGCATGGTTGGTGGGAATGCAAGCTAATACATTCCTTTTGGAAAGAAATTTGGAGAACACTCAGGGATCTAAATGTAGACCTGCCATTCGACCCTGCAATTCCTCTAGTAGGTGTATATTCAAAAGACCAAAAATCACTATATAAAAAGATATTTGTACCAGATTGTTCAGTATAGCTCAATTCATAATTGCCAAGTCATGGAAGATGCCCAATTGCCCATTGACCCGTGAATGGATTCACAAATTTTGGTATACGTATAGCATGGAATACTATACAGTCCAAAAAAGATGGAGATTTTACCTCCCTTATGTTTACATGAATGGAGCTAGAACATATTTTTCTTAGTAAAGTATCTTCGTAATGGAAGAAAAAGTATCCAATGTACTCAGTACTTTTATGAAACCAATTTTTAATCACTCACACTTTCATATTAAAGATAAATCACAACTATAGCTCTGGATGTAGGAGGAAAGAGAAGGGGGATTGTAAGGGAGGGGGGCGTTTTCACGGAGGGAGGGTAAACAGTGGCACCACACCTATGGAGCATATTGCAAGGGGACATGTCATATACTCTAAGTATAGAATATAAATGTCTTAACACAATACTTAAGCAAATGAGGTGAAACCCTATATTAAGTAATTTGATCTAAGAGTTCCAAATTGTACATAAAATCAGCACATTGTACCCGATAAATGCAGTTATATATACATGATCTATGTGTATATGACCTAATTAAAAAATACATAAAATTCTGGGACAGCATCTCTTTGGCTCAGTAGGTAGGGCACTGGCCCCATATACCTGGGGTGGTGGGGGGATCAAACCCAGCCCTGGCCAAACTGCAATAAAAAACAACCAGCTATTGTGGTGGGCTCCTGTGGTCCCACCTACTTGGGAGGCTGAGGCAAAACCCAAGAGCTGGAGGTTGCTGTGAGCTGTGACACCATGGCATTGTATGGAGGGCAATAAGGTGAGACCCTGTCTCTAAAAATATAAATAAATAAAACTCTTAACTACAAGGGCCAAAACATTAGGATGTCAACAAACTTTTCAGTGGAAACTTTATAACCCAGAGCAGCCAAGTCACCCAAGTTTAACCTTCTTAAAGAAATTTTCATCCCATAAATCTGTATCTTGCTAAATTAAGTTTCTTATTCTAAGAAGAAATTGAATATTTCATCCACATGCAAACACTGAATAATTTTGCCACAAAAACTATGCAGTAAATATACAGACCCATTCTATACACACCAGCATATTTTACCACTAGAGAAGTAGACACCAAGAAACCAAATGGCAAAACCTAGATTCCATATTGGCCTAAGTGATAAAACTAGGGAACAGCCCTCCACAAAACAAGATGAACAGAACTCCATCATATTTATCAATTTTTTAATAAATGTGAATGGTTTTAATTCCCCAGTGAAGAGGAACCGGCTGGCTGACTGGATGAAAAGATACGAGCCAACCATATGCTGTCTCCTGGAAATTCATTTAACTCCCAAGGAAAAAACAAGGGTGAAAGATTGGGAAAAAAATTCAGGCAAATTAAAAATCAGAAAAAAAAAAATAGGAATCACAAAACTATTTGCAGATACATTGGGTTTCATTATATTTTACAGGAATAAATATTTTATTTGTTTAGTGAATGTTACTCATTCTTTGTGGTTGTTAATAACTAAACACAATTTCTATTTCTTCAGAATATTCCTTCCCACCAACAGTGTAGAAGCTGAATATAGCAGATAATTTGTTTTCCCTGCTTCCATTGCAGCTAGGAGACCCAAGCATCATCAATGCACCTACCAGGTTGTGGATCACCAGCTGATGATGGGTTGAAGTAGAGACTGTACAGAATCCATTCTGGAAAAGATGATGGTCCTATGTCAGCCAAATACTACCTGTGAGGCTAGCTGTGACCATTGCTCTAGTTCTGTTGACTAGAATGTTTCTGGAGATAGAGGCCATGACTTGACAGAGATTTCTTAGAAGACTAGCTCTGTGATGTGTTTTGGGATGTTATTCCTGGCAACATAATATTTAATACTGTTCTCTAGCCTTTATGGTGATCTGTGGGCTCACCAAAGTTTTTATGAAAAATCAGTCTTTTTTCTTCAGAATGGAAAAAGATGTTTCCATGTTACAAATCTGACAAAAAGTTTATAACTAAAATCTACAGAGAAATCAAATCAACCAACAAAAAAGAGCAAATAATTACATCTATCACTGGATAAGAGACATGAACAGAACCTTGTGTAAAGAAGACAGACTAATGGCCAACAAACAGAAAAAAAATTCTCATCATCCTTAATCATCAGAGAAATGCAAATCGAAACCACCTTGAGATATCATCTAAACCCAAAGAGAATAGCCCACATCATAAAGTCCCACAACTGCAAATGCTGGTATGCATGTACAAAGAAAGAAATATTTTTACATTGTTGGTGAGATTGCAAACTAATACAGTCCCTTTGAAAAGAAATATAAAGAATACTCAATGAACTCAAATAGACCTTTTACTTGATCCTTCAGTCTCATTACTAGGTATCTATTAAGACAAAAAATCATGTTATTTTAAGGACTTTTTCAGTAGATTGTTCATCACAGCTCAATTTTCAATCACCAAAATGTGCAAATAACCCAAATGCCCATCAACCCATGAATGGATTAATAAACTGTGATTACTATGAAACACTAGCCATAAAAATACAGAGGCTTTACATCTTTTGTATTAACCTGGATGGAGTTGGAGAAAATTCTCCTTAATAACTTATCATAAGAATGAAAAAGAAAGTATCCAATGTTCTCAGTAACAATATGAAGCCAGTAGTCAAACAAATACACACACACAAGAGAAAATACAATTAAATTTACCTTGGAGGAAGTGGAGAATCATGAAGAGGAAGAGAAAAAGAGAGAGGGGAATTGTGCCCTCACCTAACAGATACAATGTAAGGTACACAGCACATAGTCTGGGTGAAGGGAAAAACTACAACAGCAACTTTACGTAACAAATGCAAACGATGTAACCTAATGTTTGTGTCCTGAAAATAAAAAATAAGAGGGATTTAGTTAAGGTTTATTGGGAAACATGTCTAGAGAGGGCTCAGAAATTTTGGCTGGTTAGTGCCTGTGGCTCAGTGAGTAAGGCACTGGCCCCATATACCGAGGGTGGCTGTGGCCCCTGCCAAAACTGCAAAAAAAAAAAAAAAAAAAAAAAAAAGAAAGAAAGAAAAGAAAAGAAAAGAAAAGAAAAAAAAGAAAAGAAAAGAAAAGAAAAGAAAATTTTGGCTGATTATAGCACCTGTGGAGTGGAATGCAGCATTATAAGAAACACAGAGGCTCTGGAATAACTAGGGCCTTTACTCTCCCTAGCTAGACACAATCATCATCATCATCATTATTGTTTTATTAGTTTTGACATATCCAGTGCTCCTTCTTCCTGTACTAGTTTAGTCAGGCCACACCCAAGCCCTGATGCTGAGATGTACATCTTCCTCAGCCCTCTCATGCTTACCTTACCCTGGAAGGTAATGATCCTATATACTGTACTCTGAAATACACTGGAATAAATTATTTATTCCCAACATTTAAGGTGTGCATATCCTTGGGTGCAAATTTCCTATTGTTGTTCTCTTGATGGCCCTGGAGTCCTTAGGCTCTGTTTGCTCTGTCACAGGACTCAATCAGCAAAAAGAAGGTCTATGGGAAGGAATCCAGGGCTCCAGCAGAGGCAAATCTTGAAGGCCTACGTTTGCTCCGATGTTTAACAGTGGTGTCTTATACCCTCCTGCCTTCCTTACCTGAATCTTGCTATCAAGAGAGAGAGGACAAACTGTCACAATTGCCCAACCTGCTTCAGACCCAACAAATCCGGAAAAGCTTGCACTCCCCTGTTTCCCAGCTGCTTTCACTGGAGAGAAAAAGGTGCCAGTACACTTCTCTGGATCTGTTTAAATAATATTTGCACTTTTGTTTGAAAAGTGGCTCCTCTTGTAATTACTTTCCATGTCTTTGAGTTTTACAATTTAATGTAAAACAGAAACCTTGTCTCCCTCTCCGCCTGCGTATCTGGAGCCTCTTTACAATCTCCCACTCCCTATTCCTTGTCAGACTCTGAAGTGTCACTCACAGTGATTTTTTTTACGCTTCTAGTAGTTTCCAAAACAAACAGTGGAGGCTGTGACCAGCGGGGTATTCACTCAATCGGATGTAACAGTATTTCCCCAGTTCCAGTGGCGTGAGCCTCAATTAGCTGTAGGTCTGTTCTCTGAAAATGCCAGAGATTGCCAGCCTGCCGTCCTGGAATGTGGGATTGGAGAACTGATGGTCTGCCCATTACCACTGGGAGGGAGGAGACCACAAAAGGAAAGGGGACTAAATTCTAGACTCTGGAGGACTTAGACTCCGGTTTTCCTCTTCTTTCATTTTGTTTGTTCAAAGAAAAAAAATGTGTCTATAAAAATTACAAGCGCATACACAGAGAGACATACTGATATTTTTTTCTTTGAATGCAGATCTCGATTTCTGGATTTGTGTGTAGCTCTCCGCCTCCTCCCCACCCCCGCGCAGCTTTCCCTCTCTCATATACCCTCTGCACCCTCCCTCCCTTCCTCCTCCCTCGGTAACCACGCTCAGGCTGAAACGTTGCCACACACATTTCCCTCCTCCGTTCCAGGCATGGCTCTGAGCTCTCGGGCACACGCCTTTTCTGTCGCTGCCTTGGTGGGGAGATCCAGCAAAAGAAAACTACAAGAACCAAGAGAGGAAGCACAGCTTGAACTACAGGAGAAAGAGAGCGTAGAGGAAGAGGAGGAGAGAAGGAAAGGCACTCCAAGGAAGAGCAAACAGCCCGGTAAGTACCTCCACTGCTTGGAGCCCACTGCCTGGGTGGGATGGATCAGCATTTGCCTGCCGGGCTAGCTGTGCTGCGGGAAAATGGCTAGCCCTTACCTTAAAAAAGTCCTGACCCAGACAGACTGCCACATTGGGGACTTTAGGGGAAGTTTCAGAGCCTCCATATCTCAATAGAGTTCTGAGTTTCCTCTGTCGTGAAGGGGAGGGTAACTAAATGCTTATGAAGAAGAGAAGCTCATCACCCTGGCCACCCCCTACCCACCGCCCAAGCCCAGAAACGCAGAGAGGCAGAGGATCACTTTACATAGGGGTAGGAAGTGAGCGTTCCCAGATCCTGATGGGATCCAGCCTAGGACACTCATATAGGAATGGCTTTCGGAGAGTGAAGATGAGAAAAAAAAGAAAAGAAAAGAGAAAAAAAAAAAAAAAACAAGGTAGAACAACCTTAACATGGAGGCAATGGAGCACAACCAGGGTACCTCTCTCTTCATTAAGAGACCACAGAGGGTGTTGTGGAGACCTTGGTGATCTTCCCCCTGCGGTCCTGGGGAAAGAAACACAGATGGCATCTCCAAGATAGGCGCCAGCGAGAAGGGGGGATATGAAAACTATGAAGCGCTCTCAAGCTCTGGGTGTCTTTGTGTCCAACAGAAAAACGAACCAAGACAGAGCCCCCAACAATTTTCTCTGGCTGTGGCATTGTCCGTGGCAATGACAACAGCAGTGAAAATCTGGACAAGAAAGAGGTTATTGAAGCAGAACTTCAAGGATCCGAACTGTGGAAGAAATTCCATGACATCGGGACTGAGATGATCATTACCAAAGCCGGCAGGTTTGGTTCTGCCCAAGCTATTTACAAGGGTCAGACACAATAGGCATTTAATGTACTCCACTGATAAGATGTGGAGTCTCCGGTAATGTTCCCTAGTACTCCTCCACCTCTTCTCCTCAACTCACTCACAGAGATTAAAAAGCCAAAGCCCCTCAATTGATTGTGCTCTGAGGCACCTAGTCCCATATAAGTGGCTCATTCTTCCTTTCCTGTACACCAAGACTCCAAGAACTCACTCCCCCAACTCCTACCAGTATAGTATACTACAAAAAATTAGACTTTCCCAGGCAGGTTCCAGGTGCCACTCCTACATCTTAGACTGTAGTTGGGCCTTTCAGTTAAAGCCTCACAGATACCAGTGAATAATATCCCAGCTCAAAGGCCCCCCTACCCACAATCCCTACTCTTGGCCACATTGAAATGGGGCTTTCTCATGACCACCTTTTGGCATGGCACAGCCCCTTCATGGCAGACATCTAGGTGATTTATATTTATATGTGTGTGTGTGTATGTATGTATATACGAAAGAGAGACTTCCTTTCCCAAGTCTGCCTCAAGGAAAACACCACTGAAAACACAGGGAAAGGGAGGCAGATTTTTCTCTCCCACTTTCTCTTCTGTACCTATTTATTATGTTGTGTATGCATAGGATAAGGGGAAAGCATGTACAAAGCCTCGTGGTAAGGGTATTCTGCTCTACTCAGAAATCCTGGACTTGTTCAAGCAAGTATACAACCAACAATGTTTTCTCATGTAGCAAATACCATTCCTTAAACCTGTTGTGTACAGTGAATTCCTTAAATTTTTTCTGTAGTCAGCATTTGTCCACATGTTCCCCTCCCTAATATCTTGAAAAGCTTTTCTGTTAGACCTTATTGTCTTTCTCACAGGCGGATGTTCCCCTCTGTTCGGGTCAAGGTGAAAGGGTTGAACCCAGGGAAACAGTACTATGTAGCCATTGATGTGATCCCAGTAGATTCCAAACGTTACAGGTAATTGGGAGTAGTCCCAGGCTGGGGTCAGATATTAGGATCATCAGATTTGTAGCCTGAGTGCACTATTTTTAAAACTCTGACATGGGTAGTTGGATTGAAATTTGCTCTCCTTGAGCTCTGGGAATTGAATTTTCTCACTAAATTTGGGGTTCAGAATGAAAGAAATGCAAACTTGCTCCCTTCTCTGTCTCCCTCACCTCTTGGAATGTGAGCACCAGTTGGAGTTTTAATATACTCTAAGGCTCTCACCTACCCACTGCTCTGGCCTTGGTTGTATAAACTTTGGAGAATGTGGGTTCCCATGGCCTTAAAGGAAGCAGTTTGAAGGAATTTGAGAAGATGTTTTAGAGGCTTCATGTGAACTCAAGGATGTAGTGGGCTCTGGACTGAGCTGCTTTGGCAGCAGGAGCACAAAAGGATGGCATGATTTACTACCCAAAATTAGTCTACCTGTTATTGTGCCCAGGTCTGTATTTTCAGCCTTGAGTCCTAGGCCTGAAGCAGTGGTGGTGTCCCAGAGGGTAGGAAAATTATTTCTTTTTAATTAAGCCCTAGATTTATAGCAAGATAAAAATGGCACATTTGTTCTAGAGCTTGGACTTGGGGGTTGGGAGTGAGAATGGGGTATGAAAACTGCCCACAAGTGGATTTTGAGTATTCAATCCAGTGGTGAATGCCTGGTCTTCTAAGGAGGGAGTTTGCCTCACATCCTGTGCTGGTTTTGAGGACAAGGAGAAGGTGCAGCTTATGAGCCTGCTGTGGCTATGGCCAAGGAACAGTAGAACAAGCTGTTTGCTTCTGAAGTTGCAGAGGGGTTAGGAATTCAGTGCACAACTAAGGATGAGCCTGGAAACTGCAAAATCAGCCTGAGGCAGTAGCAGGTGAGGTTCCTGAGGGATTGATGTGAAGCCTATTGTGGAAAGAACTCTACAACGACTGGGGACAGTGGGCTCGGCATACACCCTCTTTAGCATTCTACTTCTTCCTCCATGCTTCACAGTCAACAAATTAGAAGCTTTAATTTGACTACTGGATTTTCTGGTATCTCTATGTAGTAATACTGGTTACATCAATTTCTGTTGTGGTTTTTATGAGAAAATATAGGCCAGACTCATTTCACTTGTTCTGGCATTTCACTGTGCTTTGATGACATATGTTTGTTTAAAGTTTGTTTGCTGCTGTTTAACACTCTTTGGAAATCAAGTTAGATCTTCTGCTACTTGCTGCTTGGATCAGCAGGCTAACAATGGGCAAAGACCTTAGGACTTAAATCCTGCAGCCTGTCTCCCAGGCTACTTCCTTTGGCCTGCTGCTTCTAACACAATAACACACACCTTTACAGGTACGTGTATCACAGTTCATAGTGGGTGGTAGCAGGAAATACAAACCACTCATGCCTCACTCCCAGATTCTATGTCCACACAGACGGACCCTGCTTGGGAGAGACCTGGATGCAGCAGATCATCAGCTTTGATCATGTGAAACTCACCAACAATGAGATGGATGACAAAGGTCATGTAAGTGAATGCAATAATTTTTTCTGAGGAGGGAGATGCCAAGGCTCCTGCCCACTGATCACCCTGGAGAGGCCAAGGTGGCTTTTCCCAGATGTGCATGTGATGCTTTTTAGGAACTGTTCAAACTCTTGCACGTGTGAGTAAAGTAGTCAAATTAGGGCTCCTAAAAACTTTGTTTGGCATCTGAGAGAGTGCTGGCAGTAGGGGACAATAAGCATTGGGAGTTTGAGGGCCAAAAGAGGCCTGTGTAAGCCGTAATGTATAATCTGGCAGATCAGGAAAGAATGGTTCACCAGGCTTTCAGGCAATCCTTGTGGTCTCTTATTTCCTTCCCTAGACCACACAGTTAGATTGACACCTTCTTTGTGAGGTGTTGTGGTGGGAGGATACAAACAGGAAATCCAAAAATAGTACCTAGAAATCTCTTCCACAATTTGCCCCCATGGAAAGCATTTTCAGGCCAACTTGATCTTGCACTCTCTTCCTAGGTACACCCCTGCTTCTGAATTGCCCAGCCCAGCACTGTCCCAGCCAAAGAAGGTGAAAGGGAAGCTCTTGGTATTAGGAGATAGGGAATGTCAGAAGTTTGTCTACCATGTCCAGGCTTAGCAGATACTGCCATTTTCCATGGCAGACTATCAGATCCTAGCAAAACTTCTATACAAAATGGTCACTCATATTTGAAAGCAGAGAAGCACCCCAATCTGGAAATGAAATAATTGCTGCCTTATGCCTCTGAGATGCCTTTCTCTAAAAACACTTTAGCCCTGAGGTCCTCTGTTGAGGGTCAAATGGCACAACAGAGGCCTTAGTGTGTGGGTACCTGAGCCTCCCAAGTTAGCCTTACCTTTGTATCTGTGTTTGTCTGTGTTAGGGGTCGTCTTGAGAGAAAATGAGAGTTGGGGCATGGAAGCTGGTTTTTATGACAGTATTTGACCATTTCTCCTCCAGATCATTCTTCAGTCCATGCATAAGTACAAACCCTGTGTGCATGTGATAGAGCAAGACAGAAGGGTTGACCTCTCTCAGATTCAGTCTTTGCCTACAGAAGGAGTTAAAACGTTCTCCTTTAAAGAAACTGAATTCACCACAGTAACAGCTTACCAAAACCAGCAGGTAAAGGTGGCCAGGTCTCAGGCAAATGGGAATGGCTCCCAAGGCACCTTGGGAAGAGGCTAATTATACTCTATAGACTGTATTTTCCACAACTGAAAAAAAAAATCATAGTTTTATTGTATTGTCATCAAGGCAGATTTGATAATGAATTGTGTAAATCTTGGGTGAAAAAGAAGAGCAGAGTAAAGGGAGCTATAAGATAAAGAAGTTAACCATTCCACATATGGCTTAGCAATATGCTGATGTTTATTCAAATAGTCATGTTAAACATTGCAGAGTGGTTGTTATAAACATTGGTGAAAATGTTGTTACTGAAAGATAGCAATGACTTTCTCTCTCTCTTGAATCCTTAGATTACCAAACTGAAAATAGACAGAAATCCTTTTGCTAAAGGATTTAGAGATCCTGGAAGAAGCAGGTAAGCAGCTTAACAATGACATGTAATATTTATATAGTCCTTTGACAAGTATTAAAAATAATAAAACTGTGATTCATAGACTCAGAAGCTCTAAGTTTCCAGATGATTTCTGGAAAGAAACCCAGATATGTCACTAAAACCTTGCCTCTTATCACTCATTCCCCTACCCACTTTTAAGATAGTGCTTATTTTAGAAACTTGGGTTTGACTACATTTTCTTCAAAAGTCTACCTATAAAATAAAAATATTTCAAATATACAACAAAATTACTCAAAAATTTACGAAAATCATTTTGAGAAATTGCATTCTAGGATTGCTGAAGGTTGAATCTCTTTTTTTTTATTATTAAATGATAGCTCTATACATTAATGCAAACAGGGGGTACAGTGTAGTGTTTTCACATACATTTTGAAACACTTTCATCAAGCTGGTTCACATAAATTTCATGTAATTTGCATAGTCATTGTGTCAAAACATTTACATACTATTTCTAGAAAAGTTCACTTGTACCCTTGTTAGACAGAAATATAGGTGATCTTTCCAGTTAACCTCCCACCACCCAGCCGGAGTATGTTGAATGGGCTTTTAGAAACCTACCAATGGATGCCTTCCCTCACTCTGGATTTTAAAACCTTTGGTGCAGACACACAAAGTAAGGAAACTTGTAATCTTCAGTTTTATTTTTACATATTAATGAAATAACAACAGCTAGAATCATTGTAGCAAATACTACACAAAGGGATAAGTACATGCCAAACAAAAAAAAAATGTGTGTTTATAGGCAATGGGTATATATGCACCTTGATATGAAGGTTAGAAGCAAAAAAGGAGAGGAGCTGGCATAAAAGAAGAGAATATAGTTTTAGTAATAGTGAATGTATTAACATCTGTCTTTTTGAGTTATATTAAATCCTGAAATTTCCAGATCTCATCTGATTTATTCAGTATCTCACTGTCTCATATTCTTTAGGATATGACTGAGGTGAATTTGTGGCTGACTTGCAAATATGTTATCTATTAAAATAAATATTTTATTTTTTATGAGAAACTTTCATCACATGTTAAAATGATTTGCATTAAGTTGCATCACCTTGTATCTCTAATTTTCCTTTTTTTTTTTTTTTGGTTGGTAGGTCAAAAAAATGTGAAAATTATAGTAAGTCATACCAATTAATTTAGTTGCCATAAGCATTTAAAAATATTTCCAAGGTATTTGTTCGCATAATGCCATGTAACTAAATAATAATTATATATTATAGGCTTTCTGAAGAACAATGTATACCTTAATTTACTCTGATATTTAATAATGAATAATTTTTATTTGCCAGCAATCTGGATTTTTTTTAACCCTCTTTCCTTTATTAAAGTTACTTGTCCTTGAACAGTTAATTCAAGATCACAATTATCAAGTGAATCATTTTAGTTAGGTCGAAATGTACATGATATCATAACAACCAGTTGAAATTTGAAGAAATGAAATCTAATAATTTGAGCAAATATTTTACTGGCTACACTATATTGGTGTGTTTAGGGAGCTGCATAGAAAAATATAAATACTTATTTTGTGATATCAATTGAATAGCATCTAGGCAACATGCTTTTAAAATATCCAAGTCAACACAATTTTTACTAATAAAGAAGAAAGCTAAAGATTATTAATGGATAATTTAAAATACACAGGTTTCTAAATTCAGAAATTTATTTCTGAACTCAGAATGTTCTCAAATTAGAAAGAAAAGGGTTACAAATTTTTAAGATTACTTTTGAATGCTTTGTTTTAAAAGATATTTGACACCCTGTTGATGAAAGATTAGGATATGTCACAAAATAGTTCAGAAAAACAAAAACAATGAAAAAACAAAAAAACTCCACCAAGTCCAGTCAATAATCAATTTTGTTTTTTTTTT